TCTTTTTACCTGCTACACCAACCCAGTCTCGCTCTGAAGTCGTCGAAATCCAGCACTGGGGCACAGACTGCTGGCGTCAGACACTGACTAAAGCTGTCCTTTGATGTCGGCATGGGATGCAGCTAGTCGCTGTGTAAGATTACAACGGCAGCTGGTGGCCGCTGGGGGAAATGCGGCAGGACACGAACAAAAATTAAGGTGGCTAAAGTCGGAGTAGGGGTGGTGGATGGGTCCAACAAACACAGACTTTCAGAGTGTGTTTGTGTCCCTTAAGATTATAAAGCCAAACCCTGTTGTTTTTTTCCTAAACCCAACATGTGCGTTTGTGTATTTTGAAAGAAGACAATGCACGTAACAGGCAGAACTTGACATGCCGTCCCAGACTGTCGACAACCAACGTGAACAGGGTACCTTTTACTCTGTATCTGGACGTGGAAAGTCCATGACCAAACGTTGATATGTGACAAGGTCGAGGGGAGAATGTGTCAGCTACACAGACTGTCTTTGTAGCATGTGGTTGCTGCAGGCTTCACTTTGTGGGTACTGAGTTTTGCCATGTGATAATGCAGTTGGTTATGGAGGGTTTATGGAGGGGAGTGTAGGCTTTATTAACTGGTACTGAATTAATAAACTGGATCGTTTTAACAAGATGATGAATTGTTTTGATTGATTTATTTTAAGGCAAAATGTAAAAACACAAGGTTGTTCTGCTTCTTCACATTTCCTCTGGTACAAGGTATTAATTTTTAGCATCTTTAAACAGATTGTACCCGTTTTTTACACAGTTCTATGTAGTCTTTACCTGTTGGAGGGCTAGGAGTCACACACAGAGAATAAAACTAGACCAGCAGCATAAAAATGATGCTCAACAGTGTGGTGCCCATGTGGGCAACCACAGCTTCTATGGTCAGTCAGTACGTTTACATGGACAGGTTAATTCCACTTTCATTCGGAATGAAAGGCCATTCCTATTAAAAGTGGTCATGTAAACGGTCATTCTGATTGAAAATTAAATCCGATTAAAGGGGGTGGTTTATTCCATTTGTCATTCCGAATGAAAGAATTTTGTGTGCGTGTAAACCCTCATTCCTCTTTATGTTAATGTCTTTCTGTGCATGCTCGTTTCCTTGCCCTTCTGGCGCGATGACGTACAGTATATAGCGCACATAGCAACGGGCACGCTATATACGTCAATGCACCAGAAGTATATAGCGCGCATAGTAATGGGTTGAGATAGAGCAGTCGGACTCATTGCACTCACCGGTTTCCATGCGCCAAAGCACGGTCTTCTATCTCTCTTCTTCGACCTTCTACCTCTCTTCTCCTCCTCAACAGATGAAGCATTAGCAGAACAAGGTTGTTGTCGTACTGCTGCTTCAAGAATATAAGCAAAACACGCCCGAAAAAGGCACTAAGAACGGCGTCATCAAGCATCTTGTTATCCGGAGCGAGGACTACAATGTTTTCTTCTGGTAAATGTAAACACGTAACATCCGCCCCGCCCCCTATCCAATCAGAAACCTTGCCTGCCCCAAACCTTGCGCAGACCCCAATGAAGGCGATTAAACTGATCTCCCGTGTAAACCCTCATTCGAAAATGTCCCATGTAAACTACCTGGAAAAACTTTAATTCCGATTGATTTAATTCAGATTTATTTCATTCTGAATGAGAAGACATAATGTAACCGTAGCCAGTGTAGCAGCTTCAGTTGACTATAATGGACGCACTTTGCTGCGGGTATGCGGCGGCAGATGTGCCGCTCAGCAACTGTGTCCCATATATTTCATTTTGGCTATTGTTCCAACAACACTGAGCCATTCAGTCTGTACATATATCACCAGTTTAACCATGTTACCTAAACCACTAATTTGGACGTGAAAACAAAGCTGACAGAAATGATTGTCAAAACTCTTCATTTGTAAATCCATATGATTGCCAGAGCTTCCTGTGAGCTACTGTACCTCGTGGTCCAGCTGTGACCTATACCTGCACTTACTGTAGTTTCACTGGTGAGCAGTTTTACAACAGCATGAAAAATGATAATGGTCATTTCAGGTATGCTCTGTATCATTTTAGATTCCAAATACTTAGATGTTATGATCAAGCTGGGGATTTGTTTACAGCCTCTGTGATTGTAATGTTTGCCTCTGCTGTAAAATGTAACTCCTGGCCCTGATTTAAGTTTGAGAGGAAAGTCTGACCCAACAGGAGTGATGGTCAAAACTAAGAGTATTAGATCCACGTAGATTAAAATCACAGTTTAGCTTTAGAATGCGTCCACATTAGCACATCAGAGACCATGATCTGCCCAGTGTCAGTGAGGTCACACAGGGTGCATGTCATCTGGCTGAACTCTGAAAATAACCATGTATTACACACTCTCATTACCCCCTTGTCTCCTCGCGTTTGTCCTCATGGGATTCTTCGCACGTACCTGAAATGTTGATAATATGTTACTATGCACGAGCATGAGGAATGTGGGGATGGTTTTGGCTCCGGTAATTTGCTGACAGCTCTCTAAGTACACAGCTCTCCTGATAGGCAACGAATTACAAAGATGTTACCTGCCCAGCTGAGGGACACAGAGGAGGTTTTAGCTCACACCTGTAAGGTCAGCAGTTCACTTGTGGCTTGGCCTGGAATTGTGCGACTGGCACTGATGCATGTAGTTGTTCAGCGTACAGCACATGATGTACAGTATCTTGGCTAAATATGTCAGGTGTACAGCACCTGAAATCTTGGTTTTCAAACTTAAAGCAGCTGTGTGTTGATTTTTCATGGGATAACAGCATGTTTTAAAATGATTCCAGTAGCACAAGGCTCGTTTTAGACAATGCAACATTCAAGAACTGGCTTTAAGATTCTTTAATCAACATTTTTACATTGTCAGTGGACTTGTAATAAGGTATAAATTGCTTCATCAGAACTGCTAAATACAAGGATCTTTCAGGTAAACCAACCGGCCACTGTCATTCTAAAGGCCTCTGCACACCAAGTCCGTAATTTTGGACCAAAGCTGTTGCAGGTTTAAAGAAAAATACGACCTTGCATTATGTCAATCTTTTACACAACTCTGAAACTCTCATTCCTCATCCGTCTGTGTGTGTTTGTCCCTACTTAAGACATACAGCCCTTCTGCTCTTCAGGATCAACTGACCCTTCGCTAAGTCCCGCTCCCGGATGCAGACTGGCCAATCATAACGTAGCATCAGGCCGGATCAGACCAGGGTCCGACAACAACACAGATGTGCTCCATCTTTTCAGATTTCCTTGATTTTCAGGCTGGTTTTGTGGATTTGGAGCTAAATGTTGTGCCTGGGGCACGTCGTGTATTAATGATACTCGTTACCTGGAGAGGTTGGAAAAAGATAAAAATTTCTTCCCTGTTCCAAAACCAAAATCAAACCCTGAAAAGTGTAGGGTTAGCTAGCTAGCTACTGAAGATATAGCCTACTGAATGTATACACATGCTGCTTTTGCTTTTTAATGATTGATGAGTGAAACAAAGAGCGACCCTGCTGTACAGGAACCAGTGAAGGGAAGCAGGGAAACTTTGCACATATTAAACCAGCTGTGTGTCATCACATTGTGCACATGAACGAGATCCCTGCTCATCCGGCGGCGGAGGTCCCGGTTCATCAGCACACACTGTGATGCCACACAGCTGGTTCAATATCAGCAAAGATTCCCTTTATATTCATTGTCTTGTGTGGTGATCAGCAGTGATGTGGTGGTTCACTTTTACACTGTGATCTGTAGCCTATAGTTCAGCTTTAGCTTCTAACTATCTTTGTCTTTTTAACCTGTTGTTGCTGCTGAGTCAGTTTGACATCCTGGATATATCATTCAAACACAGACTGTAGACCGCTCTGTCTGCTTCTCTCTGGAATCACTGTTTCCAAAAATATGATAATATTTCTTCAGGCAGTGCAGTTAGTTACAGTGTGGGCTCCATGATTACTCCGATAGCTTGTCGGACTATCACAAAGGGGCGGGGCTTAGTGAAAAGGAAATTGGTGGTCTCCTTTTCAACGTGTGATTCCAGTATTGCTAGCAGTGTATCAAATTGGGCCACTGACACGACAAACCTGGAAACGATTGGGATAATTCTGCAGCTCCTGTATCAGCTGGTGAAAATCCCCTTGCTCTTGACACCTTCTCAGGATTGGATGGACCCGATACATTTTTTTGTGAGAGGACTACAAAATTATCCTCACGGCTTGACGACTTGATTTTGTCTCTTGATGTGAATTTTTACAACAAATAGAACAATAAAACATACCAGATTCGGTGTGCAAACTTTCTGTGCTCAACAATTCTTTATCGGAAATCAGATAAAAAAACAAAAGCATACAGACTCTGAATGGAAACACATGGAGGCACTTGACTAATGCCGCAATCAACAACAACAACAACAACTGAACTTATAATGACTTAGAAATATCTAATGTAAAATCACAAGTAAGGCACATAATAGTGTGTTCATAAAATACCCCACTTTAGAAGCTGATGAAGTAAATACATCTTTAGGGTCTCTACTCAGTAAATCTATCACTTAGCTGATCTATTTATCCATCAGTGTATTTAATCTTGAGGATTCCCCATGGCCATAAAATCCATTACATTTATCTGTAATGACAAATTTGCTGCACATTAAAAGACGATCATAGTCTCATGGATTAAGCCCGCTTTAATCTTGACTATAATTTATGTCTGTCTTGTCCAGACATGTTCAGCACTTTGGCAGCTCTACTCAGCTTCACTTAAGAAGTGTATATTTATTCCACATCTACGCTGAGGCAACAAGGGCTGGTGCTGTACATACTCACTATACCGGCCCTTTGCACAGCTCCTTCCAAGCCTATATTGGTCTCTCACGTCAACCTGAGTCTTTAATCCTGGTTAATAAGATTTCCTTACCCTTCAAATCTTGTCAAATCACACTGGAGTCAAGGCCTCCCCAACCAACGTGGACATGTTACAATGGAAGGAGACTTACCATAAATCCGAGCGTCCTGGCATGAGTCTCTTCTTTCCGCTGAAATATGGTTCAAAATCTTGGGTCTTGAGTCTGTGGGCGTAGTCTATATAGCCAGATACTTCCTGTCCAAGAGTATTATGATCCCTTATGAAAATGACCGACTGTAAAAAGAGAAAAAAAAAGAAGGAAACCCTCTGTGTAAATAATCATGGCCATCAAGCCTCTCCTGTGTAAAAGCCAGGAAGGCCAGTGTCACTTGTTAAAAGTGGACAGATAGAGAGGATCCGTTACAAATCCTCCCACTTTGAAATACAAAGGTTCATGTTATACGATTCAAATCAGAAAAGACTCAAACTAATGTCGTCCTGTGATGGCCCGAGCTAACTGAGGTGGGCTGTCTACAGAATATCCTGCTCAGATAAGTGCGTGGGACTCGAACTGAATCCTTCGACTTACAGTAACTAGAGTCTCAGTTCCGTTCCAACACTCCTACAGCCCGGGGCAAGAATGTAGCTTGAAATGACATGAAGTGTGGAGTACGTGGTTAAAAGTTATTACTGTAAGGTGTGAATACTTAACAACATTTTGGCTAAGTATAAGGGGGGAAAGACAAGTTAAGGCAAACAGGGGGCCTAAAAAGATGATTCAAGATTTGATATCTGTAAAGTAATTGACTTGTCTTTACTAGTGAATGAACATCAATTCCCACAAGGCTACTACCTAATTAATCATCACTAGTTTGATGGACCAATCAGTCCGCCTGATTCAGAAGTGGCTTGTTTTTCTTCTTTAATAGTAAAACCACACCACAATGTCTGGTGCCTTTTTGTTTGTCTTCGGATCAGTGTTCATTTTGATCATGACAACTAGGACGAAAAATGTTTGTCAAAGACCTTTTTCCATAACTAAAGCCCTATTCGGACGGGATTAGTTTTACATAGGTACGTGGGGTAAAGTAATAATTACCAGAGATTTTAGTCCCGTCCGAATGTGCCAAGTCGGTTATCATTACCGCACGATGTCAGTAAAGATTACCGCGACTTTTACCTTCTGTAAAAGGGTCCCGGACAATTACCTCAGGTAATACTAATCCCGTGCGAATAGACCAGCAGTAAATATGTGTGTAGATATTTCGTCATATCCTGTTTACAAGTGGTTTTTCGCGGATTTTCAAGCATGGAGGCTCTTGAAGAAGCACTCAGTTTTGCACTTCACTGTCGGACAAGTCCGTGTGAAACCTCAGGTACTGTGGGCCTACGACGAACACGATCCAAGTGTGTTCGAGTGTGGTACGCACAGGAAGCAACGTCATACGCACATGACGACAGGAAGGGACGGCGGTGTATGAATGGATTTACCCCTCCCACTTGTGGTAGTTTTACTGATATTTCTTATCCCGTGCGAATTGGCCATTAATATTACTGACGTCCTGTGGTAAAGTGACATTACCCCACGTGTCCATGTAAAACTAGTCCCGTCCGAATAGTGCTCAAGACAAGACGTTAATGAACTAAAAATAGATATTTGATTATAAAAACTATGACAAGATGTATACTTTGTTTGCGTTGGCGAAATGAGACAGGACTAGAACAAAAGTGGTGTGCTATTGGATTTTGAAAATACATGATATTTTCCCTCAATTGTGCATCTAAGCTTTTGAAATATAAGCAATGCCACTGGTTGAATTGGCTGATAGATGTGTACAGACTCTCAGAATTCCAGCTATAGAGATGATATATGAATCCACACTCTCCAAGCTAACAACTTGATTAACAAAAATGGCAAGTTTTGCGATAAGGCATGCCTGCTTTGTTGTTCTGGTGAATTGTTGCCTCAGTGGATTCTAGACACCGACAGTAGCGTCCATGTTGCCCTTGCCTAACAGCGATGCTCTCATGACTCTACCACTTGAACTTCAAGCGTATGGTGTACACAGCTTTCCATTTTGTTACTGCAAGATCTCGAGCTCCATTTGAGGCAGCAAATAATATGATAGCTTCAACACAAAAGGGTTTGGTTGGAAAAAAAGTACAGATCAATGGATACACTTCATCTATAATTCAGCAGATGGGAAAAGACACTGTAGTGACGAGAGATGGAGAGACATCCTGCTGCTACAAATTGGGTCCCACCCTGCTTTTTATGCTACGGTATGTTAGCTAACTGTAACGTTAAAAGATGTCCTAATGTCCCAGTGTTAACTTAGCATATACATTAAGCAAAACAACCTGTCACCTTGATTCCAATATCTGATATCCGTATTAGCCTGATTCAATTTGTCTGAGTTAAAAAACTGGACTAAAATGTTTTCAGTTCTCAGCAACTTAACTAGACTCAAACGATGAACGATAAAAATGACAAAAATGTGACTGAAGTCAATAAGAATTCTTGTTTCAAGACTAAGATGAAATATAAAATAGCTGTCAAAATGCACACTGCTTCAGACCACACCTTAAATAGACTTATATCCAAACCCTTCATGCCTAGATTGACTTTTTTAAAGACATCTGTTTTATAAGGAACCAGCAGTCAGCCTGGTAGCCTCGAGGACAGTTAGATCCAATCCAAAATGTTGCTAATATTTAACAGACCCAAACAAAGAGACCACCATCAATGACAGAAGCATGATGCTCAATTAATTACAATAGACAGTTCACAGTAAAAAAAAGTAATTTTTCTGGTGAAATGAAAGGGACTCTGCTTGGGTTTTAGTAATCACTAGTAGTAAGTAGTTAGTAATCAATATCCTGTTTGAATAAAATCAGAATTATGGAATTTATTGTCAAAAATTTAACAAAAAAGCTGTTTCAGAAAGTTGCTACTGAGGAGCCTCGGTTGCTTAGTGTTTAAGACCTAAAAGAAAAGGAACTACTGGATATGAGGGCGACAGGTTGTCTTTCTATAATCCAAACACTGATATCTGATTAGAACTCTATGAGTAAGACGAAAAAAGGTTTGGATTCTCCAACACAAACAAAAGACATAAATCTAAAGACAGTTCTCCGCCTGCTCATCAGAGACCAGGTCTTTGAAGTGAGCCCAAACCAGACACAACCTGGAAAAAAAAAGGATGACAAATGGTTTTGTCACCGTATTCAGACAAAGCAAATGAAAGGCAAGTTGTCCAAATCCCCTCAGGTGACAGCAGAACATGAAATGATCTTTTCATGTCGATTTGATGGTTTAGATAACACATGATGACAATGGGTGGGAAGAACTCCAAACAGAGGACATGCTCAGGTGTGAAGAGGTTGTTTTGTCTGCCGTCACAAAGATAAAAAGAAGCTGTTCTTTCTTTGCTGCTTTGTCTTGAGTAAAGGACTCTTTTTGTCTCCGACTTGTCTTGTTTACTCGGAGCATGAATGAGTCCCACTTGAGGGCCTACAGTAACACAGTAAGAGGATCCAAGCGGAATGCCTCAGCTAGTGATATCACATTTGTATGACTGTCAGGACACGGGCCATCTGTGGATCCCTTTACTAAAAAGGCGTGAGATAACTAGCGCTCCAGAGCTCAGAAGAAAAGAGGGCTCCTTTCTCTCTGTCTCTCAAACGTTTAAAACAGATGCTATCAGGTTCACAGCTGGCTGGAGGCCTGGGCCAGATACCCTATCTACTGGCTTCTGTCCTCCTGCAGCCAGCCTTGAAAAGACATCAGCAGGTAGACCTGGCAAGGGAGGCAAGAAACATTTGGGTAGTGGCGATAAAAATATCAGTTAAAGTGAAAAATGAGTTCTTTGCTTTAACTTATCATTATGGAGAAAATGTTAACGGCACAATCTAATGGCTTTAGAATAACACCATCACCACCAATTTTGTCTGCCACCAGGTACGATCTCCCAGGAAAATGAAGGCTCGATTTACGGCACAAAGCAATCATCGGACAACCAAAAAAGGAAGAAGATAGCGCTACTGTTTTCCAAGGTATTGATGGGTAGCTATCCCCAGTTACCAAACAGTATCAATGTAAGTATTTTTTAAGTTATTGCCCCCAGTACTGAAAAAGGGGCATGGTGGAACAACCAAAGTAACAGTGGAAACTGATCCTGACATAAGAAAAAGAGCTCCATCGTTCAAAGGAAAATGGAAAGTGATTCAGCTGTTTTTGTGACAGCAGCGCCAACAATAATCCCAAACGCTAACAATGGAATAAAGTTGACAAATTGTCTGTTGCCACGTTAAATTCATCTATGGAACATACTCAAATCAATACGGTCAGCTTGCTGAATGAGCCAGTACAAGGACAACGTCACACTTTGATTTTATAACTGCATCCTCTCCAACTGTGAGCCAATTATATAAAGATAAAACAATGATTTTAATGTCTTCAAACAGAAAAGGCTTCTGATTGGCTGATTATCCCTGCCCACATTTGCTTAAAAAAGTAAGATTATAATTGCAGCAATATGTAGCTGATAAGAACTGTAAAAATACAAGTGAGACCAGTTAAACATTTAAAATCCGCTCACATTTTGTGAGTCCATTACAACTCACAAGGTTCACTGACCAAACAACTGTCTTATACTAAACACATTTCCCAAACAAATATTACATGCTAACATTATTAGCACAAGCCTATGGCATTTTACATTGTATAAATTAGCCTAGCAGCTAGCGGACTTTTCCTCTACTCATGAAACCAGGGACAACAGCAACATTTAACAAAGGTAACGTTACATAATTCAGCTCCATTACAGATCGCAAGGTTCACTGACAAAACAACTGTCTTATACTAAACAAGTTTTCCAAACAAATACAACATGCTAACGTTATTAGCACAAGCCTATGGCATTTTACAATGTATAAAGTAGCCTAGCGACGAGCGGAGATATCCTCTGTTCATATGAAGCCAGGATAAATCACACACAAGACTAAAATGCAATTATAGTGGAGGCTTTATTGTTTTCACAATTTATTGTTTCTTATCTGTGAAAATAAAGTAAACACAAGCTTTGTTTCCACTGAGGGAAATGGTTTCAGCTGACAGAAACAGACAGGAGGTCTGCACACCACAACACATAGTTACATTTCTGGGGAGGTGCACGTCAGGCTATGGCGTAAGGTATGGTGTAGGTTCTACATTAGTCTCTATATACAAACTCTATATTCAGTCTGTAGGCAAACCCCGGAGATCTTGCCTCCGGAAGAGGAGCGGAAAAGTC